TAAATCATAAATAAAAATTAGTTAAAGCCAGAAAACGTAACGTTTAAACAAAATTTAACCACGCTTATGTGAGCCAGTTATGTAACTTTTAAGGGATAAAAAAAAAAAAACTGAACATTAAAGTGAGAAAAGTAGCTTTACTATTAAATTAACAGTGCCCCTTGCATTTAATTGAACATTAAAATGAGAAAAGTAGCTTTACTATTAAATTAACAGTGCTCCCTTGTATTTAATTATACATTTAAAAAAGAAATGAGTAACAAAAAAAAAAAACTATTGCACTAACAAAATGTTTGTTCAATATAAACTAAAAATAGTTATTGCATATCGTAGCCAGTGTTAGTACATGTTTGATAAAGAAAGGGTGCATTTTCTTGAAAATAGTGGATATTTTGAAATTCATTGTAAGTATCAGAATAGAGAGCAATATCATTATGATTATCTGGAGAAGTCAACGCGTAACTAATAATAGGGATTACGGCTAATTGTATAAATGTTCCATCAAGGTTAATTTCAGAACCGTTAAAAATACAATTCTGTTCAAAAGGTCTATTGTCAGTTCTTAGTCTGCGTTTTTTTCGTGGTCCGCGTTTTTTACCCGAATCAATAAAATTACACTCAAGTTCATGTATCGTACAATATTTACAAGTAGCTTTTCCGGTGCATTTTACATGTTTTTGTTGGCAATTTAAACATGCTTTAGCTACATAAGGACCTCGTTGTAACCGTCATTGACATAAAGACATAATAAAATTAATATATGTATTTTTAATAATTATATCTATCAAATAAATAAGAATTAAAACTCAAAAAGCACTTAAATTTATAGATCAAAGGAAAAAAAAACTCGTGTATTTATAGAATTTGCCTCCTATAAGATATGCGGAGATAGAAACAAAAACATATAAAAAAGGGTAATCTTTTTATACATGTAAAGACAAGGCATTATCTATTATGTGTACGATTTCTATTACAACTATCGTATCAGTTACTGATAGATAAAACATATAGATAGATAAAACATACAGATAGATAACACATATAATCAACGCACTATTCATTTAACTCAAAAACTCCAAAGTTCTGTACAACAACAAAATAGATTCAAGAACATGCGTAACATAAAAATCAGAAAATATTCAACCAACAATTAAATAAACGTAAGATTCAAAGTAATAAAGCTATATTATATCCAAAGTTAAAGTTAGAAAAAAACGATCGTACACCAAAATTTCACAAGGAATTTTTTTTATCTTTATTTTATTTTTTCTGTTAGAACGCAGAAGTTATTTTCATAGTCAAAATATCGACTTTTAAAACTTTAAAATTTTTTTTCTGATTTTGCAAGCTGGGCACTACTCATAATGTCAAATGATTAGATAATCAATCTGACATGTTACATAAAAATTAGTTTCATCTAAAGAAGGAAATAAATGGTGCGGGGCAAAATATTATCGTGAGATAATCAAAATTTTGATATATTACATGAAATTGAGTTATATCTAAAATAGGAAATAAAAGTTGTGGGGCTAAAACCACAACGGTTACATCTATAATTAAAGAGTGCCTTTCAAAAGAGATTTGCATGTTTTGCGCATGTATCACAAAGGGAGTTCATTACGTATGGTTTGTGTTACGGCGCAAATAATATATAACGCAGTAAAATTTGTTCCATGTTTTCAAATAAAATAACTGGGATTTTTAGATCTCCTGCACGTATGTGCGTACGTACCCGGCCATATAAAGGATCCTCCCGAATAGTGGGTATTAGATCCGTGTGTAGGTCTCAGGATCATCTTGATTGAAATGCAATTCTTTTCAAACATCTAGATGCCGAAACTGAAAATATTGCCTATGATTAATTAATTTTAAGTTTCAGCCGAGAAAAATTTTTTAATAATATATTTGATTGTTTAATTTTTATCAAAGCCATTACATTTATAAACGCAAAATTTGCTAATACAAACTTTCATTCTATTTAGATTTACATTTGTTGGTATTGAAAGTCTAAAATTTACAATATTAACACTATAAACAAGTTTTGTGAATTAATTATTTAAAGGACCGGAATCCTGTTTTTGAGCTTTTAATAAATCTTATATATTTCTTAGTAATTTTTTACATTTAATAAATGACCTTTTT